GAAGGCCATCTTGGCCAAAAACCCGCAGATGGACTTGCAGAGCAAGGCTGGCTCGACAGCCCTGATGATTGCAGCCCGCTATGGCTCGGTGGAGATGGTGAAGGCCATCTTGGCCCAAAAGCCGCAGATGGACTTGCAGAACAAGGATGGCTGGACAGCACTGATGATTGCAGTTCGTCAAAATTCGCCGGAGAAGGTGCGAGCCATCTTGGCCGCGCGCCCGGCCGTGGATCGGCAGGCGAACAGTGGCGCCACCGCCCTGTTCCTCGCCGCGGAGCAAGGCTGCGAGGTCTGCGCCGCCGAGCTCCTGCACCTCAACGCCTCGGTCGACCTGCCGGACTTCGCGGGGCGAACGCCTCTCATCTGCGCGGCAGAGCGGGGGCACTTGCGAATGGTGCAGCGCTTGCGTCGCCACGGAGCGCGCACCGAGGCGGTGGCCCGGAATGGGCAAAATGCGCTGAACGCTGCCAGGGCAGCGCAAGTGAAGTATTGCACAGAGGTTGATGGACAGTATGCAGATTGCAAGTACTACGGCTTGGATGCCGAGCGGCTGCAAGCCACCATAGCCTACTTGGACGACAACACCCCCAAGGGCTTCCAACTGTTCAAGACCATGGCTGGCAATCCTCGGCTGTGGTATCTGATGTGCCCGGCAATAGCCGTTGGCACGATTCTGGGTGTGATTTGGCACCGATATATCAACGCCAAAGACGCAAAAAAGCATGGAAGCACAGGTGCCCGAAAAGTGGCACTGAAGGCTGTTGCCAGGAGGCAACACTGGCACCAGGCCTTCAGGGCCTGCGAAGTGGCAGCCTGCATCCTCCTACCCTTCGGGATGGCCTTTTTATGGCTCGACCACTTCACCTTCGTCCCCCTCTTCTTTGTGCTTTACATTTTTCCCAGGGCAATTGAGATGGGGGCTGCAAGCATTATCGCGCGGCCCGTGCTCCTTTTGACGGGGCTGCCCAGGAGGCAGGGGTGCTGCGATTCTCGCACCCCTCGCCTCCTGGGAACTATCATCTTCTTGACAGTTACAGCCCTCATGCCCTGGGAATGCGAGAATGAGATCAGCTTCTATGTCTATGGCGATTCCACAGCAGGATTTCTGTGCCATGGCCCCCTCGCGACCTGGATGGTCCGAGGCATCGGCATGATTCGGCCGGCCCTCAGCCGATCTTCATCCCAATTCGTGTGCCCCGCTTACAACGCCATGCCAGGATGGGTGAAAACAGTGTACTTCTGCTTTCAGCGCGCCATTTGGCTGACCGCGGCGCTTTGGCTTTTGCTCACGCTCCTTGACATGCTTGGCGCCCTAAGCAACCAAGGGCTCACGGCAGAGGAGGAAGACTTGGCAGATGAACTTCACAATAGATTGCTGTGCACCGCAACAGCTGCCGAAGTCCAACAGATCTGCCACGGTGGAGTGCGACCTAAGCCCGAAGAAGGCTGTACATGCACACTTTTTCCAGGTGGGATGCGTGATGAGTGGTGTCACAGGAAAGCTTCTCATGATATATATATATATATAATTATGACAATTTTTTGTGATCTCTTGTGCTTTGTTTGAGCTAGAGCTGCGGCTGGGTATACAAAACGCCTTGGAGCTACTTGCGTGTTGGTGCTGCTTAATGATACAAACCATTTGAATCGATGTGACCTGTTTCGACCAGGCGGCATCTACTCAACCATTGGCATGGCCATGATGGACGGGATGGTCCTCGATCTCCTCTCCATGTTTAATTTGGTCTGCGCTGGGCAGTTCCAATTTGCAGCTGCCTTAGCATGCATTGTCATGACCTCCACGACAGCAGAAGTCCTGTTCTACTCGCAGCATAGAGACCAGCTCAGGGGGGCCGTGACACAGTCCGTCAGGAGGGGCATTATCATTGAGCCATTGATGAAGATGCTGCACTTCGAACAAGCGTTCGAAGCGCCCATGTCATTCATTCTGACTGCATACTCATTTAGCTTCTCCATTCAAAATGGTTTCTCGCTTATCAGTGGCATGTTGTCCCTCCTGCTGGGCCTGCACGGGCTGTCAGAAATGGCCTACTGGTGCGAAGACATGCGCCTGTACAACACCAGAATTCATTATAAGATGGTGCCCTTGGTGGCTAAAACAGGAGCTTTTAGGGTTTCACTGTAAGATGGCACAAGTAAAAGTGCTCAAAATGCCAGGTTGACCACTAGCAACGGGTGACATCATGGAGTGGAAAAGAAACATGGCACACAGGTAGGGATGCCAACTTACAGTGAATCCCTGTAATGCGCTATTCGTCTCACCGAATTCGGACTGAGATTCGGCCTCGGACGGATTGGGTGGCAACACGCCACCCCCGAATGGCCCACCGCCGGACCCTCCGCATCTCGTGGTGCGTCTCGGATCCTTCAAGGGGATCTCCGTCTGCACCGCGGAAAAGCGTCGAAAAGAGCTGTGGAGCACCACCGAACAGCGAACAGCTGTGGAACGGCACCCTGTGAAGAGCTGTGTAACACACCCAGTGTGAAGAGCTGTCACGTGTTCTGCCTGTACAACTGCAACACCTGTGCGTCACCGGTGCGTTCTCGTGGTTTGTTCCCTTCGCGGCGCAGGTTCGTTCTTGGCGCGGGTTCTTGGCGCCTCGACCGTTTCTCAGAGAAATCCAAGCACATCATGCGGGTCATGAAGAATGAGGCTTTGAAGGTATGGCTTGGAAGGTGCCTGACATGGGCTGATCATGTTTTTGACATAGTTGGAGTTTGATCTGAGATGATCCCCCCTATAGGCCCGGGTCGATGTGGTGGGTGCCCAGTGCCCAAAGGGGTCGATGTGAGTGTAGGACGGCGGAGTGCATAAGCCCGGCGGCTGGGGAACTTCCACTTCCAGGTGTTGCAACAGGCGCGCCAAAGGCGGGCAAACGGTTTTTGCAAGGACTCCTCTTGGTTCTGAGCACTTTCGTCAACCTCAGACATTTTGGGATGTGTTTGGGGGTCATTTTCATTGATGCGATGCAAGTGCTTGCTGTTTTGCGCATCCTGCCGGAACTTCCGACCCGGACGAGGCATCCAGCCCACTCGCAGCTGAGTGAGGGGGATGAAGGGAGCAACTCGCCAGGAGTGAGCGAGGAGCCGGTGAACGTGGCGTTGAAGCATTCGTGGCACGAACAGCTTTAGGACAGTGACATGGGTGGGGCGAGGATATCACCGGCAGAGATGAGCAACACGCAAAACGCGGGCTTACAAAACGCTTTCATTGGAGAGAGCCTGTATGCAAGTCAAACAGTCAACATAGTAGTCGGTGCCAAAAGTCAAAATCAAAAAAACGTCGAATCAGAACGTTTCAGAAAGTCAAAAGAAGTTAATTGGCACAGCTCCGATTTTTTTTCACCTTTTGGTTAAGACTCGATTTTTTCCGAGTTGTTTTCTAATTTTGATTGTGTCTTTTCTTTTAATTTTTGTTCCTCGACTTTTTGTTGGATTTTTTCGAGTTGTTTTCTAATTTTTAAAAAATGTTTTTAACGATTTTTTTGTTTGGACTATTGCAATTGACCTCACTTTGACTTTTCCATTTGACTTGTATTTGACTTCTTCTTTTGAACAGGCTGTCCTGGCCTTACCATATGACATGTTTTCAAGAAAAAAGGCAAAGCACGAAAAGTCAAAACGATGCTTTCGCTTGTTTCTTTCGTGCCTTTGGTGCGTTCGACCTCCCACGGCGTGAGCCGCCATGCTCTGCGGCGCAGCGCAGCAGCTCAGGTGGCTCTTGGTGACCGAAAAGGAACAGGATAAGACGAGACATACATAGACTCGCTAGACTACTATAGACTATAGACATGGTCAACCTACCAGGGTGAAGGTCGGTTCCAGGTTTTGGTCTTGACCAGGTTCAACCCCCCTCACCTTATAGCAATCTCACCAGGTCTTCTCTCTCGTCCGGAAGCAGTCGTCCGGAATCCGGTCGGCCGAGCCGAAGCCGACTTCGGCGACCACGAGATGAACGGATCTCAAACCGTTGTCTAACATCAGTGTTGACCGGCAGGTTTTGGTCGTTTTTTTTGTTTTGGTAACATACTTTGCGCTTGCACCTTGCGAATCGTTGCCTCCTTTCGAGTGACCGGAGTCGCGAGCGCAGGCCGCGACGCGGTGAACCCGTCGCGCCACGGCGACGATGGCGCGATGGACCCGTGCCACTGGGCGCGACGGTCGGCGTTCGAGTTGAACTCGATCCTTCACCATGGCGGGGGGCGGTTCGACTTCTGTTTGAAGGCGTAGGTCTTGGCAGCAACGGGAGGATTTGGGTGACTTTCTACTATGCGCTCTCATGCGTTTTGGGTTTTACGCGTTGAAGGTGTGAATTGGTGAAAGCGAATTGCAAACTTGCTCCCCCTTGCCACCGTGCCATGAAACCCTTCTTGAGGCCACAAACCGCGAAGAGAGAACGGCCTATAGCACACTATAGAACAATTCACGAGCGCCACCCGTCAAGAATGGATCACAAGATTCCTCATTCCTCATGGAAGGCAATACTCTCCCTGCAACTAACATGTTGACGTGGATGGCATGGCCCCTTGGAAGACGATGTCCCTCTACAAACAGGGGGTGAACTCCACATAACCAGCCCCCTGTGAGTTCCGGCCATGTCCGCGTCCTGATTCTGGCCTTTCCATGTCCAACCGACTCCCAGGCGCTGGGCCGTGGGCCCTTGGAGGTGGAGGAGCTCCTGCGGAGCATGCGGAGCAGCCAGGCCGACGAGCCGAACGATGAAGCGACGATGCCGCGCGAAAGCGAAACAGCGCACGGGTCTTGTTGTTTCATTGGGATCCGGCTCGTTGGGGATTTGAGTTGAGTTGATTTTAAAAACATGTTTTTAACATACGGTGTGATGTATAGTGTACTGAATACTATATATGTTACGGCACGCTCATAGTCATGTCGATGATGTTGTTAAATTCTCAGATTTGACTTCATCCGCATTGGAGCATATGGACAATCATTTCCTTTGCTTCACATCGCTGAACCTTCTGTCCAACTTGATTTTAAACCCAATGGATCAAATCTGTACGACAGAGAGGCGGTTTCTACTGAGAGTTGTGTGTGTCCTGCCTTCTCCGAGTCCCAAACCCATGTTCAGCCTCTCTTCCCTGGCATTGGTGTTTGATGCCTTTGTCGCCTTCAGGTCGAGATCAACGACTTCCACCAGTGCACGGCCATGAGCAGTTACACGTCGCCCGGACCGTTCTACACGTCGCCCGGACCGGGGCCGAACCGGGTGAACGGGGCGCTTTTGGATGCCTGGCAGGGTGTTTTTTTCTGGAAGCTAAGGTGCAAACGCATGCGACAGCGAGTTTCACGGGAGTTTCTGAGTAGCAGTTAAGCCGTGGAGAGGCCAAACATGCGCCACTGGTACAGACATTCAGTACAGAGGGAAAACAGAAAACACCTTTAGAAGCTAAGTCCCGCTTTTGTGGTGCGTTGGGGTTTTATGCTCAGCTTTTTACACCAGAATTCTGTCAGCAACACCTGAAAAACCACCTTAAAGCAACTTTTTTTTGCCCCTTGGCTCCAGGAAAAACCATGGGCCAAAAACGGACCTGCCTAGACATGCCAAACGCGGACCGTCAGCTCGTGACCGGGTTGGACGGGTCCCAGTCCATCCCTCCATCCTTCCATCCCATCCTCTCCGCCGAGGAAGTCCTCGGCCTGGCCGCGGGCGCTCCGGACCGTCGGCGTGTCGTCTGACGCGGCGCGGGCGAACGCGGCGTTGAGGGCTTGGGCAGCGGGAGGCCGGGCGAAGGATGAAGGTGGATGAAGGGGTGGTTGAGGATGGATGATCCAACAGGTCTTCGAACGCACCTGATAGCTAAGGAAGGCGCTATGGTCCCGTTGGGCACTCTCGGCTTGAGTTCGGCTTGGGATGAGATGATGTGAGACGATGCCACGTTCCGGTGACCTGGGGTGCCAGTCACTCCGGATCTCCCTTAGTCCGGTCCCAAGACGGAAGATGTTTGGGAGACGAAGAGGATGATATTTCACACCCCCTTCGAAGATGATGTTCAATTCAAGTGGGGGGGTGTAGGGTCCTCCAGAGTCGATGCCTTTTTGTTTGGGAGACGCATGCCGAAAGCGGGAGTCGATTCGGATCCCCACGGCCGCACCACCCACCCACTGCTGGGAGGCTCTTGGGCTGCAGCGATCTCCTTCCTCAGTGACCTTAAGGACCTGAAGACCGACACCATTAGTGCCCTGGCAGCCGTAGGACACCACCGAAGACACCCAAAATTGCTTTGCCCTTCCACATCTTCCACATCTTCCTGGCTGATCAAGCCAACCAAATCAAGACCTACAGGCAGACCAATCAGACCAATATCACGTGTAGAGTGAACCGTTTTCTGTTGGTTCATGGTGGTTTTTCCTCTGTTGGTCAGTTCTTTTGTTCTTCTCTCCCTAGGGCTCCAACCATCTCAGAAGGTGGTTAGACCTCCCTGGCATCCATCTCCGAAACGGAGCTGGGCCAGGAGCCCTAGTTCCCTCCTCGCCCCCGTTTCTTCGCGCAGGTTTCAACTCCTCCATGGCTGCGCTGTCGCATGCGCCCCACTGGCCCCAAGTTCTGGAGCTCCTCCGCTGGATGCAGCATGAGGTCTGGACGGGTGAAAGGTGGCTCCTCCACGTCTCCAATTCCAGGGACATCCATGGTCCATGTATTTCGAAAAAGCATTCAACAAGACATCCGAGCTTTGTAAGCATAAGTATAGAACTGACATCAGGTTTTCAATCATAGTGGTCTCTTTTTATCCTGCATGCACAGTAATTACCTGCCTGTGTGGCTTTGTGGAGAAATGAACGCAACGATCACAAGGGGGGTGCATTGCTTCGATGCTGCTCGAGGTTTCTTGACGAAACCCACCCGCCCACCAATTCGGTCATTCACGTTGCCCACACCAATCGCACCTACTCTACCTACACCGCCCACCACACCCAGTGGATCTGAGTCGCCACGAGAGACACAAGTCCGTGGACCCGGACGCTCACACCGTCAGGGCTTGCTCCCCAGCGCCGTCTCGCTCCACTACGCCGTGGGGATGGCGTCCTGGGCCAGCGCGCTGGCGCTGCTGGAGGGGATGCGCGGCGTGCGGCGGACGGAGGTGACGTGCCTGGGAGAGGAGGAGATGGGCGGATGGCCCATGAGGCCCATGAGGCCCGGACCGCTCACATGGTGCGTGGAACATTGACGAACTTTAGCTGGCATGGTGTTTTTGTTGTGAGTTGTTTCGGAATTTCCCTTCGGGTGCCCTTCGAGGGGCGGAATGACAATGCACATGGAATGCGTGATGGAGTGGACAGCAAAGATAGCAAAGAAGGTGAGAAGACATTGATTATTACCTGACATGTGCAAGGAACATGTCATGTCATCATATTTCATCACATAATTTCATCAGATCATTATATCAACAAAAGTCTACAAAAATACGAACAATTTGTGATATCTATGGATGAAAATGATGAAATCATATGTTCATCACATTTCATCAGCAAAAATCCGTGTTCCTTTTGGCTCAGCACCCCCCAGGCCCTGGATCTATACTCCCATCGTCGGTGCGTCCTTCACCGAGGTGCACGGCAGTGCTCGGCGGTTTGCGCGCCGCGCCGAGGAGAAGGTGCCGCATGTGGCTGTTGCGGTGCTGTTGCGGTGGTTGCTGCGGTGAAAGACTTCTCCTGAACTGGGCTAGTGGCCAGACCATTCACCCACGACCGGAAGCCCAAATTGGCCTTGTTTTCTCCCCAAGTGGCCTGGAATACTCTTCATGGTGAAGGTGTTCGATCTCGGGGTTTTGGGCCATGTGCGGACTCTTCAAGGGTCACCATTGCACGGAATCCCTTGGGGAAGCGTATCTGGCATATTTTTTTAAATTGGGTGTCTGTCTCCAACCTCAAGCTTTTGTTCTACTCTTTTTCCACCTTCACCACTTTTTCGGTGACGGTGTTTGGGATCTTCGTCCTTCGTTTCGCCGCTCTCCCACTTGCACCACTGCTCTGGACCACGCTCCACAGCTGCTCCCCTTACCTCTACGGCCCGAGGCGCTGGCCATTGGCCGTGGGGTTCTTGGAAGCTGCCCAGTGGTCGCCCTCGCTGCTGAGCCAAGAAGGCAGGAGTGGTTTCTCACTCACCCAGCGGGTCGTGAAAGGACAAGGAGTGAGCCATCCTAAACGCTGGTCGTTTGGAAAAAGTTGAGTATTTAGGCGGCTTGGGAATGTATAGGCATTGTAATTGGCGAAAATTGAGTTGAGGTTTGCATAGGCAGGGCACTGTTCAACCTTTTCAAGGCGTTGAAGTAACAGCGTGGTTGGGTCCCATCAGCAGTTACAGAGACGTCAAGACACGATTTGTTTATATAGATTCTGTGGTCCTTTCTATTTGGCTTTGGGTTTCCTAATCACCTCATCAATATCCTCCTTTTTGGACGCATGCTTTGCTCATCATCCCACTCACAGTGCTGCACTTCTCAAACACCACCTTTGTTGTTTACTAGTAGCCTTCTAAGATGTCTCGAACCCCAATACATCACCAGTGCTCATCATCCCCACCTCACATTTCTCACCACACGTCACCCGTGTCATCGAAACATCCCTCCTTCGTCGCCGTTCGACGCTTGACGCCGAGGACGCAACGCGGCGCTCAGCCTCGTCGCGTCCTGCGGCCGCTGGGCGCTGGCGCTCCACGCCGCGCTCCACGCGGCGGCGGACGTCGTGAGCCGCTCGGAGAGCTGCGCGGGCTCCGCGGTGGGGGGAGGTGTTTTTGGGGGGTGCGGTTTTTGGCAGAATGGCAGGGCGGCTTGGCACATGGTCAGCCTGAGTTGGTGGGTTTGGTGGTTCCAAAGACTCCTATCATAGGATGTCATAGGGCAGGAATGACCAAGTGAACAGAGAAGACGACCTTGGGCCTTTGGAAAGCAAAGCCGTTGAGGAAAAGAATTCTTCCAAACTGGAGGTTCAACTGGCGAACACTGCATCGGTCGCGGTCGGAGGGGAGGGACCTCGACGGACGTTGGGAGCTTGACGGACGGTACCTGGCTGGCCACTGGCCACTCGATGGCAGACAAGGGTCCAACCCAGTCAATGATTGAGCTGGGTTAGCCAGTCGATGGTTGTCGCTGAAGTCCCAGACATGGCCTCCCGAGTCCCAGGTTGGTCCAGTGGCAGAGTCGGGAGTCAGTGTTGTTTGCTGGTACTGTTTGGCACCATTACTGTAAGCATGGCCCACCACCCCAGAGTTGCATGGCCTTTTTTTCGCTGTGGGCGAGGCTTCAGCACAGCCATCAGTGCATGTGAACAGGCCGCCGCGGAAGTGTGTGGGGAGGGTTGGGAGAGGGCTGATTTTTTAGTCAATGAGGTGGGGACGTTTGGGTCCACTACTAGGGTTACTCCGCCACCAAAAAGATAAAGGAGGTGATGTTTGTAGATGCAGACGAAGCACGCTGGGCTTATCCACTATGATCCACTGTGCCTGCTGCATGCCAGGCTGGCCGCTGGCAGTTGACTTGGATGCTCTTGGAACTCATGTGGGACAGGAAGGTGCCGCAGCTGAAGTGGAAGATCTGGGGATGAGCTGGGTGGATGAATCACGTCCTTTGGGGCACTGGAAGTGTTGGCGACGTCGGTGTTCTGGACACGATGGTGTTTATTTTTTCATACGGTAATGCCTGACAGAACGCTCAGGTGGGTTTTGTCGGTTCATCCTTCAGTCGGTTCGGCGAATGTGATACTCCGCGTTCTGTGTGCTTGGCTGCATGGCCAAAAAAAGCCGCGGGCGGTGGAGTCAAAGCTGCTGGCATCTACAAATGGTTCAGCCAACGGCCAGCTGTTGGGGGGACCAAACCATTCAACCGCATCAAGTAGTCTTCCCGGATCCTTCGTGAAGCAAGGAGTTCCCAAGCAGCCTTTCAGAGGGCTTCACCTGGTTTTCCGCGTTGTGGCCTTCCCAAACTCCGAAAGTAAACGAACTGGGCCATAATCATGGTTCCGTGGAGTCCCAAAACCACCCGCGTGTAGCAAACGCGGCTTTTCGTTTGCTCATCCGGGACCTGGACCGGTTCCACCCATCCACCGGGGGCTCGACACGATGGACCCACAGCCGCCTTCTCCAGGTAGTGGTTTCTTCTTGGTGCAACCCATGGTCAGTACCATGGTTCTGTTCCCCACACACAGTGTTTTGTTGGGATCTCTTGGGTTTTCTTTTAGACTTCTTTTTTTGGTTTGTATCACTGCCGGAGTCCTGAAAAAGGCCGTTGAACATCGTTGAGTCCCTTCGTTGCAGGTGAAGGTGAACAACTTCAGCTACAACGCGGCCGCTTGACCACCAGTGGGGTTTGGACAGTAGCAGACCTGGCATCCCGCATGTAATTATATAGATCCTTTAAAACCTCTTCGTATGGGGGCTTTTGTTCATCAAGAGTCTACCAGATGAGGATTTGTTCTTTTCTTCACAACCTGGGGATTTCAGCCCATTTCACGTGGGGGATTTCTTGAAAATTTCCGACATCCCAAGTTTGGGGGGGACCGCATCTTACCCCAAAAAAGCCGACCCTCCGAAGTTGAAGGTTTCCGAAAAACGCAGGGAGTGCTTGATCCGAAGATGTCATCGCCGTAGCCGGATCACCCCATGTTGCCTTGCCTCTCATTCCCTCGTTCCACTTGTCCCGCAGCGCTGTGGTCGCCCGGTTTGGGCCGGTCGGATCCGGGCTGCCATGGCGTGTTTCGTGCAGAGCTACGCCGCGGCGCTGGCGGAGCGGGTGCAGCGCTTCCCGGCGGAGCCCAGCGAGGCGAGGGCGGAGAGACGCGACCACGGCGCGGCGGTGGAAGTCGACGTGTCTTTTGGGTGCGTGGCATGGGGGGGTGGCGCTCGAAAAAAGTGATCATCTCTCTCTCTCTCTCTCTGTCATTGATCAATATAGGTCATAATGGAAAGGGCTTCTTTGGGGGAAGAGACCTGGTGACAAGGGGCAAAAGTAAATGAAACCGTGTGAAGCCCCTTGGTGAAAGGGGTCCCTGCATTTTGCGACGAAAACTAAAACCATCACATTTGTGAATCACATGGGCTTGACGCCAACTTCAGATCAAAACTTGGTATATTCTTTCCTGACTGCCACATGCGGAGAGCTCAGCAAACATCACCGGGACTCCGCTGTGGTGATGTTACTGCATGGTGTTCATCCCCCTTGCTGAGTGCAGAAATCGAAAGGTTTAGCAGTTCTCCTGCCAGTGTTTTTGAATATATTTTTTGAATATTGTTCCGGTGTACATGGGATAATCAAAATTTCATCTCAAGGATCTGTATTCTCAGGTGGATTGAGCCAATATACCCCTTCCAAGACCATAAGTAAAACAAGGGTTGGTGGTTGGAATCCTACAGGGTCATTACATAGAACCATCCAGCAGTCAAGCAGCTTTCGACCTGATGCCGGTAGACCTTCCACTTAGGACAGAGGACGGCGAAGAAGGAGAGGAGGAGAGGTTCGAGTCCCTGCTACCCCGGTGCAGTATCAGGCGCGCGCGGTCGGCACACGGCAAAAAGACCGACCGTGGACCTATGGGATGAGAAACTTGAAGAGTAGAATTGCAATGAACTCCCCAAACCTCAACCACCATAGCTCCAAAGATACGAAGCAAGATATCTTAAGATTATGATCTCTTCCTAGGATTTCCATGGATTTCCTAGGTAGGTCTCTCTACGAGATCGTCACCTACAACTCGTCCTTGGGTCGTTTTTCCGACCCCGACGTGCGACCGACCCACCGGTGGCCGCCGCGTGGCGGTCGCCCGGTCAGGTGACCACTTTGAGCCGCACGGCGGACGGTGCCGGCCTGCTGGGCACGAGCCTCTCCGGGGACGAGGCCCGCGTGCGTGAGAGTGCTGAGGAAGAAAGCGGTGCATGGTGGAAGGATGGGTGACTATTAGAGTCTCTAGCCCAAAGAAGATGGATCAAGATGATAGTTGAAGACCTGGAGAGATGCGAAAGTTCTCGCACAGAGGTAGAGGTATTCAATGGCATTCAGTCATGAGGAATTAGCTGCTACCACATCATGTGTGGCTTTGATTTGCTTGTTCGTCATGATGATTCTGTTTTGGGCAATCCTCATGGAAATCGGGCAATTCCTGTCCCAATCTCTGAACAAGAGAGTTATGCTATATGTAGTATACGGAGTTCTCTGACTTGAGCACGATGCGTTCTGGTATTTGTGCATGGCTTTGACAGTGCAAGCTATGTGTGAGAGAGAGATGGTGGGAGAGAGTGGGAGAGACAATTTAGAGAAACCCTGAATATAAGTATGTTTTGCGTGGCTCCCCCACCCAGATGCACAGATTCTTGGAATTGCTCCAACATAGCCCGTTCTTTTGCCTGTGGTTGCGCCACAGAGAGGAGTGGCTCCTTTCATGCTGACCGACTGTGAAGACGTGGGGCTCACATGTTCCTTGTCTTGTCCCACATGCCTCTTGGCGCTCTCGTTTGCCCACCCATGTCTCCTTGCGTGCCCACAAAACGTCCTCCTTTCGCTCCGGCTCCGGTTTCCTCCACCCCTCGTGGTCCCGGATTTCTGGCCTCCGCCAGGTCTTCCTCCTCCAGCCCTTTGATCCTCCACGCTCGGCCGGTGAGCTGCTGACGGCGCTCGGCGAGCTGCTGGAGGTGCCCCCGGCACGGCTGACGCTGCTGCGGGCGGGCGCGGAGCTGCCGAGCAAAGCAGCGCTGGGCGAAGTAGAGGGATTGACCTTGAGAGAAGGTGCCCGGAAACGCAGAGGAGGGCGGAGCGAACAGCGGGTTCGGGTTTTGGGGGAGTATATATATCCATGCCCAGTTCTTCTCCTTGAAGCAGGGAGCCAGGGAGCTTGCTAGAGAGAAGAGCGAACCCTCCAAAAAGGGAACTAGGGGTCATCAGCGATCTGGGGGGCCATTGGCCCTTTCACATGAGCCGCGCTAAGAACGTCCCTGTTCAGTTTAGTAGTGGGCTTGTCATGTGAATCCTTCGCGTACGCAAAACTCTGATGTGCGTAAGGTTGCGTAAGCGTTTTTTGTGAGATGAAACTTGCGTAAGCCGTGTAAGCAAATCAAAATTTAACATACATGTCACATGTATTCTTGAAATGTTTGGAAATTCTATGGAAACCTTTGTTGATGAAGCCATGCATTGGATCTTTTTCTTGGCAATTGGTATGGTCGAAGGTGATTGGCTCCACAGAAAGAAGGGTTCTTGGGGTTCCGGTAGTCATTTATATACAGGACATAGGCAATCAGGACGGAGATTGTATGGGTCGACATGCAAACATTACTCCTATAGCCATACAAACAACTCCCATAGCCATAAAGTCTACCAGCAGTTGTCAGACACACCATGGTCACCATGCAGTCATCGGTTCTTTTGGCGTCGGCCGCGCCGCGTAAGGCGCGCGTAAGAGGCGCGCGTAAGGCGCCCCCCTCTCTTTTGTAGACGGTAGCCCACGATGCCTCCCGAAAAGCAGGCTTATTCTGACTTGCAATGGCGCCAAAGGCAACGCATTGTCCAAACCATCTACGAAATCCTGGCGGCTCACTGCCCTACAGCCGCGGACGTAACAAACCTGTGGTGTGCTGTGCTTTGCTTGGAAAACAGATGGCGCGTAAGCTGGCGCTGTGGCCGGGTGCAAGATTGTGTTCGCGTAAGTGTTGCGTAAGCCCCTTTGTGTGCAAAGTGTGCGCGTAAGCTGCCATTGTGGTGGCCTAAGCCAGGCGTAAGCTGCTGCGTAAGGAAAGTCTTACGACATAGGCAGATGCCACACGTTTTGAGCACAGCTCACATGTTTCTTCACCGGGACGAACTTTCACCCGAACACGCGTTTGGTGGCGCGGGTGGTCAAGAGTCAAGAACTAGATCATCCATAGATTCATTGAACAAAGACTGCTACAGAGCACCGTGTTGTCAAAAGGGAACGGTAAGGATCAGCCACAAACCAGCAATGACCCACCTCGGCCCAACTACATGAAGCTAAGGTCCACAGGATTAAACTAAAACCTCCATCTTCTTTCTCAGGTTTCTTCTTCCAACCATCTTCAAGCCACACTCCCACGACACTCCCTCCCTCCCCCCCCAAACCAGACCGGTGGCCCGCTCCACCCGCGGCACCCCGCGGCACCACCAAGGCCTGGTGGACTGTCGTCCGCTGCTCTGCCGGCTGCGGGCGCCCAACGACCGGGCGGAGCCCTCGCTGGGCGAAGGCACCGTGGAGGTGGACGTGGCGAAGCTGCCGGAGGGCGAGACGATCCAAGCCATCCGGGAGGAGCGGAGGTGACGAGATGAGGAGATAGGGGAGGAGATGGGGAGGAGATCCCCCTCTGGGACATGTTTTATTTTTTTCCTGTTGTTGACCTGTAGCTTGGAGGTCCTTTCAAAGCGTGCGTTTGGTTGTGAGCGTGAGAAAGCGTGCGTTTGAGCGTTTGGTTGGCGCCCTGGAGTCGACAACTGATGGGATGATCCACCCGGCGCCGACGGGCATGTCTCACAGGGTGCCTGACGTCGTCACGACGTCTGAGGTATGTGACCATGGAGGAGGCCTGCTGGTTATCCTACACCAGCAAGCAGGTGATCTCCTACGCCGTGGGCGCCGACGAGGTCCTGGAACCCTACGGCTTCTTCCCCTTGGCGCCTCAGTGGCGTCTCCCTGCCGGCGCGTCGCCCGCGCGGCGCGCCGCGCCCAACTGCGACGTGTGGAGTTGTCAGCTGGGTGAACTGGCGGGGCCGATGAAGGCGAAACTGGATGCACATGCGAGAAGGACCAATGATCGACCCATCCCCAGGCGTGGTTGAACGGCGCATGTGACTAACTTCTATGGGCCTGTATGCAAATACGGTATCACCCCAATTCCCCAATCAACAGGTGTTTTATATCCTTCTAGGGGATCTTTGGGGGTCTCCCTATTGTAAAGATATACACACCCGTTTGTCACCAGTAGAAGTGAACGATCCTTGCTTCAGTGGGTTTGGGGATAGCATGTCGCGTGCCGCACGAAAACACGTGCACAGAGATGCCATAGTACTTCTAAATCAAAGTACTGTGGGTCAGACATGACGCACCATGACCTCATGGCCAGACCTCATGGCCGCTCGGTGGCAGGAAGGTTCGCGCACGGCGGGCAGGTATCAGATGATCGTGGATCCCAACCAGTTTGTGCACCAGCAGGAAGGCGGACCAGCCACTTGGAAGGAAGACTTGTTACTTACCACTTCGCCCCGCGGAGGCGCGCTCCAGTTCTCCACGGACTTATAGATGGCAGTCACATGCAGACATGGGCCATAGTCCAAGATTGAGAATGTTGAT